CATGTTGAGGAAGAAAAGAAAGAGTTAGCCAAAGATATTCAGCAGCTTGCTCAGTTAGGATTTTGCCTTACAAACACATCAGATGGTGGTGTGATAGTTCAGAATCAGAATCTTAATTGGTAGCAGAGGTTAAGGAAAAAAAAGGATAGTGATCCTATATTACTTCAATTGAAAGGTGCAGTTCATCAGTAGAAAGTTGAGGTTTTCTTCCAGGGGGAGATGATGTGCGTTGTTACCAGGGTCGCTTATGTGTTCCTAATGTGGGAGAGTTGAGGCACCAAATCTTTATAGAAGCCCATAATTATAGATATTCTATTCATCCAGGTGCCACTAAGATGTACTGTGATCTACGTGAAGTCTTTTGGTGGAACGGCATAAAGAGGGACATACTAGACTTTGTGGCTAAGTATCCTAATTATTAATTATCAATATGTGAAGGTAGAACACCAGAAACCATGAGGTATGACTAAAGAGATTAACGTTCCTACATGGAAGTGGGAAGTGATAAACAAAGACTTCATTACGGGTTTACCTTGTACTCACAGACAACATGACTCCATTTGGGTGATAGTGGACAGAGTCACAAAGTCTGCTCACTTCTTGGCTGTCAAGACTACAGATTTAGTAGAGGACTACAACAAACTCTACATCAATGAGATAGTCATGTTGCATAAGATCCCCTTGTCTATCATCTCAGATAGAGGTCCTCAGTTTACCTCTCATTTCTAGAAATTGTTTTAGAAAGGTCTTCGTACTCACGTAAATCTCAATACAACATTTCATCCACAGACGAATGATCAGGCAGAGCGTACCATTCAGACCTTAGAGGACATGTTGAGAGCTTGCGTGATCGATATCAAGGGTAGTTGGTATGATCACCTACCTCTCATAGAGTTTGCCTATAATAATAACTTTCACCCCAGTATTCAGATGGCTCCTTCTGAGGCACAATATAGGTGTAGATGCAGGTCTCCGATTGGTTGGTTTGAAGTAGGTGAAGCAGCCTTGATTGGGCCCAATTTGGTTTAGAAGGATATGGAGAAAGTTCAGCTCATGGAAGACTAAAGACAACTCAGAGTCATCACAAGTCCTATGCATATGTGAGGAGAAGGGACTTACAGTTCGAAATCCATGAATGGGTTTTCCTAAAGGTGTCACCTATGAAGGGGGTGATTAGATTTGACAAGAAAGGGAAGCTTAGTCCTAGATATATATGTCCTTACAGAATTCTGAAAAGGGTTGGTAATGTGGCTTATTAGTTAGAGTTGCCAGCAGAACTAGCAGCGGTTCATCCTGTCTTTCACATTTCCTTGTTTAAGAAGTGCGTGGGTGATCCGGCATCGATAGTGCCATTAGAGAGTGGTTGTGAAGGATAGTCTCACTTATGAAGAGGTTCCAGTTGAGATTCTTGACCGTCAGGTTCGTAGGTTGAGAAGTAAGGAAGTTTCTTCAGTAAAGGTTTTGTGGAGGAGTCCATCAGTAGATGGAGCTACTTGGGAAGAAGAAGCAACCATGATGGTCAAGTACCCTCATCTCTTTCCTTTTGATTTCGTTTCAGCTTGAGGTAATAGTACCGCTCTAATATCTCAGTTTACTCTTGAGTAATTTAGTCTAAGTGTCTTATTCCCTTAGTTATTCTTGAATTTAGTATATCTGCATGTTCTTGGAAATTAGTTCAGTTAGATATCGGGTTCTAATAATTAGTGGTATGGATTGTAGCTCCTTCCCTCAATACTCAACTTATTTAGACTTCATTCGAGGACAAATGTTCCCAAGGGAGAGATATTGTAAAACCTCTGATCCGAGAAGATGAAAAAATACAGTTGTCCAGGATCTAGTGTCAGAACCAATGGAAGTCACCAACAACCATGTTTCAGACCATGGACCGTAAGTAGGGTCCCGTGGTTCAGTCCCAGATATGGGGAAAATTCAAAATCAAAATATGACACCTACGGTCATGGACCACGGTTCGTTCATGGATCCACGGATCGAATGTTGGTTCTATCATTGGGGTCCAAAGTTTGATGGTCTCTAATCCCATTGACGGTCAACCAGTTAGGTTCGTGGTTGGACCGTAGGTAAGGGTCGACAACTATTTAGGGGAAAATGGTTGTTCGGTCAACTTCAAACGGTCATATCTTTTCGCTTAAAATGAATTTGGTGGCCCATGACCTATCAAACTAAAGATAATTGAATCCTCTTTCCAATGCCACCGAGTTTGCTAAAATAAAAACTCGTAGTAAAGAATTTATGATCATTTTAGTGAAGCCCTATCGGACAAAGTATGAACGACGACCCCAGAAGACATCTAGTAGTCCAAATGATGGCCCGTCAGTCACACCGTGGATGGCCTTCATCAACTTTTAAGTTAAGGTCATTTTGGTGTTTTTTCTATGCGTTGGGGCACTTAAACAACGTCGTTTCATGCCTAAACTATGTCATTTTATTCAGTCTGGGCCTAATAGCCTATTTAGACATACCTAGAACCCTTATTCTCCAAATATCATCCAAATTAGAACAAAAATAAGAGAAAGAGGTACCAGTTTCTTTCAAGAACAAGCAACAGTGTTATTCATGTTTCACCCTCAAAACCCAAAGTATTTTTCCATAGATTTCGTCGCCATGTATGTGGGATTTCACTAGTGGGCTCCTTTCATCCACTGGGTCCCTAGAATTGAGTCAGTTCCTTGATTCTACATAGCTTGTTTAGACTTAGGGTTTGTAAAATCTTGTAGAATTGTTGTGATTTCAGTTGCTATAGTGTCCATAGTCTAAATGACATGTTTTCTCGGAAACGTTGCCTTATTCTTTGTATAAAACTCAGAACCCTAGTTTGTGTAAATTCTCTTAGTTTATGAATTATACTTGCTAGGTCAGTTAAATAGAAAACCATGATCCAGATTTCGAATGTCACATTCTCAGTAAATAAATGTTGCATTCATAGTTAGCATGTCAGTATTTTGAGTTATTCCGTATTTAATGCATTTTAGCTTCATATGTATTCAGTTTGGAGTAGACTTAGCACCGAGTTGAACTAGTGTTCAACGTACCCTCATAGTCCTAGAACTACGTGCCCGCGTAGGATTATAAGTCTCCTCTGTTAGGCATCATTATTAGTGATCACGCTACAGTCATGCCTTTATACCCCTGGCAAGGTATATTGGCTCCTCTCAATGGGGCGTATATATTGGACTCCACGTTTAGCTCACGTGGTTTATGTCGGTTAATAGTAGCTCCCACAGTCAGACTCTCCTTGTGTTAACCAAGTTTTCAGGGTTTGTATTAGTATACAGTTTAGCATGTTATCTTCATGATTAGTACTTGGTCATTGCATTTTTTTTAGTTTTTCAGTTCTATTTCAGTATCTATATCTCTGCTCAGATTTTTTCATTGCTCAGTTATGTATTGTTTAGCTTATGTATCTTTTATTTAGTTTAGTATCTATATCCTGCATGCTAAGTACATTCCAAGTGCTGACGGATACGTTGCGCTACATCGTTTCATTATGTAGGTTCAGGTACTGAACATCCATATCACGCTAAGATCGATTCTCAGTCCACATTCAGCAGCTTCAGTAGTAAGTCCTCATATTCCGAGGACAATACACATGCTTTCATTTTAGTCATTATTTTTAGTTTCAGTTTTGTTAAAGTTAGATGGGGCATATCATAGCAACTCAACTCAGTTAGAGGTTTTTCATACATAGTAATAGATTCAGCTTGAGTTGTTAAGTGGTTGTTTCAGTTATCATTAAACTCTTAGTTTATTTCATTTATATTCAGACTATTAGGGTTTTTTTTCATTTTCACATATCCACTGTTTTAGCTTGTTAATGTCTTACTTAGTTATTTTCAGTATGCTTATGATATGCCAGACTCAGGTTTAGCTTGGGGTCACTCGTGATCTTATGTCCCGTGTTGCGTCCAGGGGGTAGCCTCGGGGCATGACATAACTCTTGAAATGCCGAATGACAAATTTCCTGTCGCAATAGCAGTATTATAAGCACATAAATGTGGATATAGCTTAGATTGAAAGCAGTAGATGATGATCATTTACTGGTTTCTAACCCAAATTTCCATTTCTGATAGAAGTCGTCTAACTCATCGTATCTATTTTATTTCATTTTTCTTGAAAAGGAACAAATCATCAAAGTTCTTTTCACATATGAGAACTTCATTTAAACTTTTCAAACCACTCGTGGAATTATAAGGATATGATTAGGAAGAAATCTTGAAAATGAATGAAATGCTAGACCTAGGAAGCACAAGAAAGAAGGAGGAAGCTTGAGATTTTAGGACATAACAACAAAGATATTTAATTAGAGGCTTCATTTGTTGACTAGCTGGGTTTCTAAGGTTATCTGGTTCTTTAACATAAAGACGATTGATTTTGATATATATTTACAAAGATTACACACATTTTGGGTATGAAGCCAATTGAGGGAATTCACAAAATACTCTTCAATTCCTCAAATCTTTCTTCCTCACCTCTTTAGATAATATTTTAGAAGCATCCACTTCTTCTGGAATCACTTTTTTAAATTTTCATCAAAGCTAGTGTTATTAAATTCGACAACATGCATTCTCATGTTTCCAAGTCTAATCACTTTCATCTTAATTTGAGCCACTTTCTTCATAGTTGTCACCCATATTCATTTCTCAGGTTTCACAAAAATAAACCTTCTCCCACATCTCTTCACCAATTCTTTGATAGATGAGAATGGCTTTCCTCATTCATCTTTCTCATGGATGCAACATCATCTGCTACCTCTCTATTCAAGATTCATTTTCGTGAAACAACTTCGTGAGGATCTGCTTCGTTAGGGTTAACACCCTTGTTGGATTCCTTCCCTAATAAAATTCTTTCAAAACCTTTTTAACTTTTGAAATTTTGATAGTTCCGCCTACTAGCCCTACCAAATTAATATCATCGATATTCTAGTATTTCTCTTGCCCAGCATTATCATAGTTATAATTAGTCTTGCTCATATCCATTTTGTTCTAAAGACCACTAATTATTTTGAAAATTTTGGATTGTCCACCGATTCCACAAGACATGTAGCCCTGATACTAAATTTCAGAAATTCAGGAAGAGGAGCACTCGCAATCACTCTTTCTTGAAAACAAGTGAATGAAATAAATGTTCTTTACTTCACTCTACTAGCTTTAACCAATGATTCTAACCTTATCAAAAATGACTATTATATCTAGGTATTTTATAGGACTATTCTAGAATCTACCTAGTTTAGTAAATTTATCATCGTTTAGTTCTATTCATTCCTCTTTTTCTCAAATACATGTATTCAGCCATACATGCATCCTTACATTAATCAATATCCTAAATACATGAACTAACTAAATCATGTTCACAGAAATCAAAAACTCTTTTCTTCTAAGACAAAGTTCACATTTCAACATAATATTTAACCCTCTTTACAACCACAGACACATTTCAACACAACATTATTTGTAGCTATTCAATTAATAAGATATGTACTCAATAACAATTTATTTTCATCTAAGATGAGTGCAAAGAGGCAAACCTTAGAGATTGGTGTGTCATCAACCTTTGGCTGCATGCCTATGGAGGTGGTATTTGCAAGAATCATATCATTTTCTGGATGGAAATCGCTAAGATCGTGAAGAGATAAAGCCTTAGCTCCAACTACATCACCAATTTCTCGTGCTCGTTCTTCAAGAAATAAGACAGAGCATCAGTATGAAGTAACATAGTTGACAATCAATACTAGAGTAGAAGTACTAGGTACGGTGTGAAGAACTTCATGGTCATGAGCTAGACATAATTTCAAAAATGAAGTGTTGAACTACCATAGATATGATTAGCAATCACCACCCTAGCCCTCTTTTTCCTTTGCACCATAAGCAATTGCCTTTCCAGCTCCACCAGCACAAATGACCACAAACATTTTACTAGCCAAGGGGGCGCAGATATACTAGGTTGTGAACCTGTAAAGGAAATAATGAAGCTCAAACATTAAGCTCTGAATCAAAAAATGATGTTTGCAACTTGGAAATGAATATTTAACCTTCCAATCCTTCTTCAATGGAGGATATTGCACCGATATAGTCTGTATTGCAACCAAATAACTTCCCATCAGGTCTATTTATAATACAATTGACAACCCCTATTGCCTGCGGGATAATCAACTAACCAAGATATTGCATATGATATGATAAATCATCCGAACAATTTGTAATCCGAACAGCTGAAAGTATTATAAGATCGTGATATAGCTAATACCTTAGCAGTAGGATCAATTTCAGTACAACAGTCAAGAGCGTCTTCTTTGTGAGGAATTGTACAGCTGCACAACATAGAAATTTGGCATGACTAACCTTATGAAACTAAAAGACATCTGATAAAATAACAGTTTCTGTTTTGAGAGCAACCCTGAAGCCAGCAAAATCTAACCCTTCAAGTGTACCAAACGTGAAGTATCCACCAAAATTAGGATAAAGTATTTGAGACATCAAACCCTTCTCTCCTATGACCATGGCTTTATTGGTACCTATTTAACAAAGTGTAGGAAATGAATTAATGTTTATCAAGAGAAGCATCTCAGAATGCAAGCGAACTCATATTCACACAGGTAACTCAAAAGAAAGCCAGAGACTCAAGGGAGATGGAGGACAACTATAAGCATACAATAAGCATAGCAAATCCTAATAACAAATAACCATGTATGCACATGAAAAATATTATAGTAGCAGCAGCTAGCAGAAAAAGAGAACAAACTTCAACCATGAAGACAACCAGCTTATAATTAGAGAAACATGCCGCATACCTCATTTGTATTAGCGCAATTTCTACTAAAAGCATCACCTCTGGTTTATACCTGAGATTATAAAATTACATTATAAGTTCATAAAATAAAATTTTAGCTGTATATTTTCATGTGAGAGATCAAACATTTAAACATCAATTTAAGAATATAATTTGAATGATAGCAAAAAATTAAAAAAAAACTACATGGAAAGAAATACTTGAAAGAACATATGATAAGAGCTTTATGCTCTCTAAACTAAATTCAAATGTACAGTATTGTCATTAGAGGACAATTTGTAAGAGACAATGTGTATGGATGATTGTGGTCTTATGGACACTCAATTCACCGGAAGTGCTTACACTTGTTGTAATGGTAGCAGAATGAGGTGGAGAATCAGTAAGAGACTTGACAGAGTTATTATTAATGATGCATGTGCCTCCAAATTTCCCCTTACCAGAATTCATCATCTCTCTAAGACCGGTTCTGATCATAATATTTTATTGCTTCAAGGTGCACAAGATGAGGCCACCCACATTAAATATTTTAAGTTATTGAATTTTTGGATAGAACAAGAAGGTTTTGTAGATGTGGTCAAGGAAGTTTGAGACAATGAGATCACGGGAAACCCAATGTGGAGATTACAAAATAAACTCAAAAACCTTTCTAAAGCTCTTAGCAAATGGTCCAAAGAATGCATTGGAGACGTTTTTGATATTGTCAAACAAAAGGTGGAACATAACAAGTTAATGGAGAAGCAATATGAAATGAATAACCCCGATCACAATAGAATCCTTTTTCACAAATCTCAGGCTGATTACATTAAATGGCTGAAGCTTCAAGATTCCATTCTGAGGCAAAAAGCTAGAATAAAGTGGGCAGACAAAGGTGAAACTAACTCCAAAGGGAGAAGAAGACATGCTCAAATCCTTAGGATTAAGGACTCTACTGGCAGATGGTTAGACAATAGTGACCGAATATCCCAAGCAGCAATTGATTACTTCAGCAATATTTTCACTCACTCAAATGATACCGGAGTTTCCAGTGATTCCTTCATGAGATATTTAGATACTTTGGTTACTGATATTGACAATGACTCTATGGAAGCTATTCCTACCAAGGAGAAGATTAAGGCTGTTATTTTCTCCATGGATCCTAACAGTTCTGCAGGTCTAGACGGATAGAAGGTATGTTTTTTCAGTTTGCTTGGAACACTGTTGAGCAAGACATTACTAAATATGTGAGAGCTTTTTTCACTGGAGCTAATTTAACTAGGTTCTTTTCCCACTCGTGATTGGTTTTAGTCCCAAAAGTAAAGGCTCCTAATCATTTTCCACAACTCAGGCATATAGGCTTGAGTAATTTTACCAACAAAATCCTCTGGATAATTGTTTCCTTGAAACTTGGCCATATCCTTCCTAAACTTATCTCTAAAAACCAATCAGGTTTTATCAAAGGAAAGCTATTACTGAAAACATTCTTTCGGCGCAAGAAATTGTCCATGACATTAGAAGGGGCAATGTTGGCTGGAACTTGGTTATGAAATTAGATATGTCAAAGGCTTACGATAAAGTTTCTTAGGTTTTTCTTATGTCTGTCCTCAGAATGCTCGGCTTCAGAGAATTGTTTTATAGAACTCATCTATAGAATCATTTCAAACAATTGGTATTCTGTAATTTTGAATGGGTCAAGACATGGTTTCTTTAGTTCTTATACAGGTCTCAAATAGGGCGATCCTTTGTCTCCTGCTTTATTTATTATTGGTGTTGAGGACCTCTCCAAAGCTCTTAATCATCTGAATAACAAAGTGGATTTCAAAGGTTTTACCATGAGCAACAATGGACCTCAAGTGAATCACCTATGCTTTGTTGATGATTGAATGGGTCAAGACATGGTTTCTTTAGTTCTTATACAGGTCTCAAATAGGGCGATCCTTTGTCTCCTGCTTTATTTATTATTGGTGTTGAGGACCTCTCCAAAGCTCTTAATCATCTGAATAACAAAGTGGATTTCAAAGGTTTTACCATGAGCAACAATGGACCTCAAGTGAATCACCTATGCTTTGTTGATGATATATGATATTCTACACAACCTAGATTGTTTTTACTTTTATATCAGACTTTACTTAAGTGAACCAAGTTTCCTAACGTGTTGCAAAGACGGCGTAAAGATTGTAAAGTAAGAACGCAACCTTTCCTCAACAGGATTTACCCCAACTTCACTAAATAACTACGAGCCTCAACCAACAACAAGATTACAAGAGTTTATGTAACCTAAAGACTAACTACCTAATCTCAAATCTAGCATAGACCTCCAAGGTATGTGTTCCCAGTGTCTTCGAGTTGCCCTCAACTTGAAGACTAAAATCGTATAATCAGTTTATAAATAATTGATCTAACAATATAAAAATCACAAATACTAAGAAAACTTCCTAGATCTGTTCTTCTATATTCTTTGTGCAGCAGCACTTCGGAAATAAATCTCTTAGTTGTTTCTGCTTTGTAAGTGTGTGCCGAGTATGGACGCCTCTTCTCCTATTTATGCTTTTGCTTTCTAAAGTCTTCTAGTCCTTCACTAACTCGTCTTTCATTCCACCACTCAGTTTCATTTAGACTTCTTCTTGCAATGAAATTCCTTTATTAATTTGAAGTCCTTCTTGAAACAATTTCTCATCGGATCACTTTGCCAACGTGTTCCTTGGGTTTCGTAATTTATCAAAACAATACTTATCCCAACAAATTCCCCCTTTTTGATGATGTCAAACTCATAAACTCATGGCCTTGTCTACATTCTTCTTAGCTTGCTATTTTGACCGTAACATTTCAGCATGGAACACTTGGCAAAACAAATTAGCTGTGGGTTATATATAATGCACTCCCTTCTTTACTTCCCCCTTTTGGCATCATCGAAAACGGTTTCAAGAGAATTAATAAGGACATAAGCGTATGAAGGAATAATACCCAATCTGCACCGTTTTAAATGGTCATCAAGATCATAACAGAGTCAGCTAATAATAGTGATTAACATAGACAATATTACTAAAAATGGAATTAGTGTACGAAAGATATGAAACATACCATAGAAAACAACCAAAAGTAATATATGCCTTAAAGAGAGAGTACACAAATAGCCAAAAGCACAAAAATAACAGAGTGGATCATGGATACCAAAAGGAAGGAAGAGTTCAAGGGGCTAAGGTGGGAGTTTGAGTAGCCAGCAGCGATATTGGCAGTCCTCTCCTGAGCGAGTTCATTTTGAAGTGTAACAACTCTAGCTTCCCAATTCTCCTTTTCCATTTGATGAGCATTCGCCATAGCATCTAGTTCATTTTCCTTCTCATCAAGCTGATTCTGCAAGCACTGAAGAAGTATGTCAAGACGCCTCATAGAAGCCGGGAGATCTATGTGATTCACCTGACCCACCACATCCTTAACAGTTTGAGAATGCCATACCTGAAGTGGCACATCAAAGGCCTCAAATATGGAAGCCATCCAGAATCCATGTGGAAGTGCATGCCCATTTTTATCCTGATTAAGAACATTATGCATATGTTTGATGATCAGAGAGGGTAAGTCAATAGGGACCTTTGTGACCAGTAGCTCCATGATGGTGAGATCAAGAAAATTCGCCTACGTACGTCTTTGTTTCCTCTGTAGGATTATCTTGTGAAGCACATCAAAGAACAATAGATGTAAGTGAGACATCGCATTCTTTTCAACACACCGATGATGAGTCAGATTAGGCTTAGAAGAGAATTTGCGAGAGATTGCCAGAGAAGAGGAGTGATTAGGCAAAGTCGGCCACTCAAGCTTAACATAATAATCCCATCCCTCAGAAGGAATTCCCAGTATTCGAGCAACATCAGCAGGGACCAAATGAAGAGGTGTATTTCGCACAGTAGAAGTGAAGGATTGCCCATCACTTTTGCTATTTCTGTAAAATTCGGTTACCTCTTGCTTTGCTAATTTACGTTGAGTATTACCTTGAAGAAAGAGAGATGACCACCCTTGGGACTCTAATTTTGTCAGTAACACTGCCATTTCAGGGACTCCAAATCCAGTGACCACCCGACCCCTAAGAATGGATTGTTGACGGAAGTGAATTCATTCAATCAAGCTGAGATGACAAGATAGAAGAATAGGACTAGGTTGGATTTTCAGCCTCGAAATCTGACATGGAACTGGAAGAAGAAACAGGGGAAGTAACTTGTTTCTTTTTGGATTTCGACGTGGATTGCTTAGAACAATGGATTTTTGATGCAAGTTTGGGAGAGGCCTTAGGAAGGGAGGATTTCTTGGCTTTGGTGGAGGGTTTAGATCATGAAGGTTTTGAAGTGATGTGCTTGCCACGCCTATCCCTACAACTCACAAGATCATCATCAGAAAGAACAATGGTAGGGATTTGGAGTGGATGGCAAGCAGAAGAACGAGTTCTTTTTCGAGCTGCCAAGGTAGATATGAATTCAACCTAAACTTGACGACGTTTTTTCCTAGTTTGAGGGACCCTAACAGTGGGAAACGAAAGGATATATGTGGGTGAAGAAGGTTCAGACATAGGGTTTGACACAGAGTCTTGAAAGTTTTGAGACGACGCCTACTCTTTTTTCTAACGACTTCAGCCAGAGGAATTTCATCAGTATTATCAACATTTAAAGGAACAGGGTCAAAAGCATGTGCCATCGGAAAAGAATCAGTTGAAATAAAGAGAAAGAGATTTTGACTTATAGAGCTCCAATTTGTGAACCCATCTAGAGCTACCCGAAAGGATGCATGCTCTCTAACTTCCCCCTCACTCGGTGCATCAGGCAGAAGTACCAAAGGAAGATCCTGAAAGTGAACTTCCTCATCTGCTGGAAGAGATCGAGAATCATTAATCAACATGATACGAGCAATTCCATCCACAGAAACCCAAATATCATCTGGAGGAGATTCTTTTCTTACTATGACGAGAGAAGTATCAGATGAAGTTAAGATTTCGGTTTCTTCAGGGGATTTTGAAGAAGATGTCATAGCTGGAATTCAAGCTTTTGATGAATATGGGTGATGAAGAAAGATAGTTGGGGTTTTCAGAAGAGACTTGTGGAAGATACACGGATGAAAATATGGTTTGATGTGATGGTGACAGGTTTTTGAAAGAAAAAAGGGAAGGGAGACGAAGAGTTTTGGGTTTTGGTGGTTAGACGTATTAATGAGAGAGAGAAGAATAAAGAGTCATATTATTCATGTGTATCAGCATGTGTGACTCTTAATAAAAAACATTTATACCTGAGGTGTGCTCCACGATATGCCAAGTTACTTTGTACCTATTTTAACTGCTTAGAGCAACAAAGATCCATGAGAATGTGCAAGAACTGATAAGTACAAAATTGATATACAAGTTAATGTATTTTAAAGACCGCATAATATATCACTTCATACCTAAACACACTTGTTAATTCATAGAGCTACAATTTTCTAACCAATCATTGAGG